TCCTCTTCCCCTCTTTCTCTTTCCTCTTCCCCTCTTTGTTTTCATTTTCAGTTTGGGTTACTTGGGTTAATTCAAAATAAATTCAAGATTTTCAAGAAAATCAAGGTTTTCATGTCAAATTCGACCATGAAAACTCTAGATCTAGAGTTTTCATGGTCGAATTTGACCTTGAAAACCCAATTTCAACGGTTTTCTTTTTGTCAAAATTAAGGTGTGTGTCTTTTTTTTCTTCTTAATTAACTTGTTTATTTTTCTGATTTTTTTGAATTATGGTGTTGTTGAATTATGGCTTTTTTTTGGGTGGTTTCGGTGGTAGTTTTGGGTGGTTTCGGTGAGGTGGGTGGTGGGTTTGGGGAGGTGGTGGGAGGTGGGTTTTAGGGTGGTTTCGGTGGGTTTCGGGGAGGTGGGTTTCGAGGTGGGTTTCGGGGAGGTGGTGGTTTCTGGGTTTCGGGGAGGTGGGTTTCGAGGTGGTGGTTTCGAGGAGGTGGGTATGGTGAGGTGGGTTAAGTTAGGGAGGTGGAAAGGCGGGTTAAGGTGGTAGGGGGGCTGTTGGGGGGTCTGTGTGGGGGGCTGCTGGGGGGTCTGTGCTTGGGGGTCTTTGGGTGGTGGTTTGGGTGTGTGGGGGGTCTGGGTGGGGGGCTGCTCGGGGGTCTGTGGGTGGTGGTTTGGGTGTGTGGGGGGTCTGGGTGGGGGGTCTGTGTGGGGGGTGGGGGGTGGGTGGTGGTGGGTGGTGGTGGGCTGGTGGCGGGGGTGGGTCTGGGTGGGGTTTTTTTATTATTTTTTTATTGACTTTTCCGACGGAAATTTCCGTCGGAAGTAAGTAGATTCCGACGGAAATTTCCGTCGGAAGTGGTCTATTACGACGGAATATTCCATCGGAAGGTAACTCATACCGACGGAAAAGATTTGTCGGAATCTTGCGACGGACTTTCCAATAAAGTCAAACCTGACTCCGACAGAACGAAATCCGTCGGAAAGGACCTTTCCGACGAAATTTCCCTCGAAATATCCCGAAATTCCTACAAAAGGTATTGCGACGATGCCTTTTGACGGAATTCCGTCGGAAATGGGCATTTTCGATGGAATTTCAGGGTTTTCCGATGGATTTCTTTCGTCGTTGATTGGCTCTTTTCTAGTAGTGCAAGATTTGGTCCCAAGCCCTCTCCGATACTTTGGGAAGGGTACACTTCTTTCCCAGGAGAGCCAGGTGTTTGTTGTAGCGACGCAGCCGGTGGTTCTGTTGCGGAGAAGGGGAAAAGACCATGTAAAATTTACTCTTCCAGTTGCTCACTTAGACGGCTTTTCCAGCGTCATCATATACTCTACATGTGTGGTCAATGTATACCACGCATTCCAGCCGCGTGGGGTAGGATTGAGGTAATGCATATGCGTAAACGCCTCCCAGCTAGGCGTTATGTCCTGCATCTTGCAAGCGGCAATGTATCCAAGAATGTTCACCCATGAGTTGGGTGTTAGCTGCCAGACGCCAAGGTCGTAACACCTTAGAATGGCCTTTATTGTGTTGTGAAGGGGGAACCGGAGACTGGCTTTGAATGCCGCCTCATAGCAGCCGAAGTAATCATCCGCATGATCTAAGTCGTCATCCCAGACGACGGCTGCCTCTACAGGCGGCACAACAATCTCCTAACCTTCCCCAACCGGGCGCTTTTCCAAAAATGCCGAAAGGGTTGCGTTTAAAGTGACCACGTCCAGGGCGCTGATAAGCGCCTCTGTTGGATTGTTTATTGAGGGTCATCTGGCTCCATGGTTGGCTCAGTGGAGTCGGATTGCTGGACGGTCTCCTCCCCATCAGAACTCCCGGATTCCTCCAAGATTTCATCTCTGGGCGTGCTAGGTACGCCCAGCTGGTCATAAGGAACATCATCAACTGGAGCTTCGGCTAAGTCACCTGACTGATATTCGGGGTCCATAGCCGTCCATCTAATCCGAGCCATTCTGTCCTGCACATGAACAGAGGTGGTCGAATTCGCAGAAAAGTAAGGTTGGTCCAAACACCCCCAGACGGCATCCCCAGTCCTAGATTCAGCCGTGTCAAGTGACTGGTTGACAACTGTCCTAGGTCGTGCCGTGTGTGTGTTGGGTGAGTCCATTCATTATTCTCTAACCTATACAACCAGAAAAAAAAACTCAAAAAAGTTGCAAGGGGCAGAGACGGTACCTTGAAGTTGTAAAAAACTTGGAAGAGGGTTGACTCCTTGAAGTCAGTAGGCAGAACTCTAGTTTGTTGCTTGGAGATACCCTAGACGGTATCCCGGATGTACCCTCTTCAAAGAGCAGCTAAAATTATGAAGCTACCCAACCGTTTCTCTAAAATGTGGCTTGAAGATAACCCATGCGGTAGAGACCGGCTGTGGGTGTTTTAAAAGCTAAAGAAAATAAACGGGTGGTCAGGCGGATTTGAAGAAAATGGCTTGAAGATGCCCTAGACGGTAAAGAACCAGCTTTGGGTATATTGAAAGCAAGTGAAGAAAATTGACTAAAGTCAGGCGGTACCTAAGAGAGTTGAGCAAAGAGCACTCAGACGGTGTCCGGATGAGTGTGAAAAGAGGAAGTGGTTGAATGTAAAAGCAGCCAGTATCAGAGCTTTTTCTCACAAGAAGTTTGTGAAAATTTGCAAAGTGTTACAAATGAGGGTGGGGGGGTTTCTATTTATAGAAGGAGGCAGAAGGCGAATCGTCACCTCCCCCTCAAATTCAAATTCGAAATTCGAACAAAAAAAAATGGAGGGAAGGAGACTAACCGTCACCTTCCTAGAATGTGACACCTGTCACAGGTGCCATGTGGCAAGCCACGTCACACCTGTGAGGGGCAAATGTTTAGGGTAAAATTCCCTATGCCACGTGGCCCAATGGCATGCTGACACGTGTTAGCCTTAGAGAGGCCCAATGGGATCGAATCCTCTGCTGACACGTGGCACCGTAACCCTAATAGGGGAACTGATCCCCTTCCGCTATAAATAGAGGAGAATCCTCATTTATTATACATTCATAAATACAAACACAAAAAAACGGAGCAATATTAGTTGCATAATTCTCTCTGAATCAGAGAGAAAATCCTTTACATTCCGCACATTTATACATCCGAAAACGTTCTAACTTGATCTTCGAAGGCGGAACTCCACCCAACCGGAGTTTCGTGGTTTTGTAGGTACAGACGGTCGGCGTGCATTCCCGGAATTGTAACACTCCCGAGGGACTCCAAAAACCCCGAAACACTAAGACAATTTAGTTTACTTCCGAACTTATTAAGTTTCCTTTTATTTACTTTATTTAAAATGTTTTACAGTTTGGATGTAATGACTATTTTATTTAGCCGCCACTCAGATCACTTAGTTTATAAAATGGTATTTTGTTTTGCTTTGCATTTGTTTTCTATGGAAAATAAGTGTAGCGGTAACACTCCCAAGGTTCGATGGTTGGGTTTTGAAAGGTAAAAAGATTACTCTTATTGTTTTAAAAGACTCGAATTTTGGGGGTGTTAATAATATTATTGTGGACCTGAGATGTGTACACGACAATTGACATTATGTTGAATATAGTGTAGGGGTGAAAGTTCGGTTTGCGGTTTGGATTTTACAATAAACCGAATCCAAACCGAATTAATTCAGTTTTGGATTTTTGAAACTGAATCCAAACCGAATTTGGATTCAGTCCAACTCAATCCAAACCGTTTTAATTCGGTTTTGGAAAATGAATCCAAATCGAACTGAATTTTGTTAACCTTATTAACACATATTTAAGCAACAAATGCATTGAAGCGTGATAATTGAAGTCCATCCTCGACAGATTAAAATTTTAAAATCGTATCCATAAATCTTTCACTTAGCAAGAGTCTTACATGGACCATTGTTCCAATTCTCCAAGTTTTAAATTTAAAGCAAATTAAAATCTAAGTCTTACTTATTGAATCAAGGGTTTGCCGTGAGAAATAATGAGGAAAGGAGCGGTGTATCGTCGGTCGTCGGAGCCAGAGTGTGAAAGAGTGAGAAAGTTAGTAGTGGGGCGTTATGGTCGATTTGAGTGAGAAAGTGACTGAGAGTGAGAATTTGAGGTTGTTGCTAGTTAGAGACTCGGAGTGAAAGAATGAGAAAGGGAAAGGGGACTAGGGATTCTATTTTAGATATTTATATAGGAAGGGGAAAATGGGCTTAGGAATTGGGATTTTTAAAATTCCGGTTTCAAAATTCGGTGTTCGGTTTTTTAAATTTCTAACCGAAACCGATCTGCAATCCAAATTTTTCTAAAAAGTTCAAACCAATCCAAACCGAATTGTAAAAAAACCTGAACCGAATTGTTAATTCAGTTTGGTTTGGTTCAGTTCGGCTTGCGGATTTAATCTGTATTAATTTCACCCTTGATATAGTGACCCTAAATTTAACATATTCGACCTAATTTTAACATAGTGACCTTAATTAAAACTTGTGCGAGCGTGGTCCACATGTGCCACTTGACATATTTGAACATATAAACTCTAATTTTAACACCTTTAATATTCATATTGACGAGTATATTAAAATTTTCATTATAATATAAATTAATCTCTTATGATATGACTTTTATTATAACACAATAACTTTTATTTTAACATAACAACCTTTATTTTAACATAGTGACTTTTTTATTAATATAAAAGCCTTTAGGTAACTGCATTTATATATATCGATCTAATATTAATGTGTCAAAAATCTAATATTAGTGGTTCACAATAAATTAGTGTGAACTAGATCTATTTAAGAATTTATAATTATGATAGTTTAGATTCATTTCGCAAAATACTTTCAAAATATCAACTATTTATAATTTTTACTCTTACATAATTATAGATATTTAGCAAATAAAATGTGGTTTGAGATGCGTAATTTCATCCTTGTTGCAATATTTGTGAAACAGGGAAATATTTTATTACAGCCATTTTAAATTGTCCTAAAATAATTTTTTATCTTTTTTTTTTATTTTTTTTAATTTTTATTTATTTATTTTTTTTTATGTTTTTTAACCAGGAAAAGAACATTTTTAAAGAAAACACAAGAGTCAACACTCAAAATACCAGTCTCAGGTGCAAATGTTATGGCTTTATCAACAGTAGTAGCCACTGGTCTAACTAACTCCCTTCTCTATTCATCTCGTCTCAGCCATTCTCTTCCTTCACTCACTCTCTTCAACTTCGCTCGCTTTCCTCTCACTCGCCAACGCCGTGTCACCCCTCTCTTTTCCACCACCTCTCGCCGAAGCTTGATAACAATGGCGGCGAAGAATACCGCACCTTACGGCTCTTGGAAATCGCCGATCACCGCCGATGTTATTGCCGGCGGTGAGAAACGTCTTGGTGGAGTCGCCGTCGACGGTCATGGCCGCCTTATTTTGCTTGAATCTCGTCCTACTGAAGGAGGGTAACTCCTTTTGCCTTTTATCAATTTTTTTCTTATTAACTTTTTGGTGTTAATTGTTAATTTTGCTGTTTGAACCCTAAACTTTGTTTTATATGATCATGTAATTCTATTACTCGGAATTGGTGATTTAGTTAGTAATACTAATAATTTTTTGAATTGTACAATGTTATGGGATTGATTCTAACTTTCTAAGGAATGAAATCAGTACAACTATTTTAATTAGATTCAAATTGGCCATACTTAAAAAATTATTCTTCAAAGATGAAATCTAAGCTCATTATTTTCTTTTCTCATCATAGCTTATGACTTCTGTAGAGTAAGCTAGTGAACTCAGAATGATTTTAGCTCCATGTGATGTTTATGGGACACCACTGTGTCTATGATGGAGTGCTTGGGTTGTGATGTGATGAATCGATATCCTGTCGATTCTACCCCTTCTAAAACTCTAATCATCTACAAGCACTGATTAAAGGTTGTTTACATTTGTTCAATTTCAACCCCCTAGAATGTTTTGTGGAATTTTTTAGAAAATAACACCACAAAATTGTCACAAATTGGATTATAACACCAAAAAAAAAAAAAAAAATTATTATAACACCAAAAAAAAATTCCCAAAAATTGATTTCACCACCACTTAAAGGATTCCTTGATGGAATCCGTTAGCAGGGCCCGTAGAAGACACGTGACAAGTGTCTATTGGTTTAAATAAAGTAATTAATAATAATAATAAAAAAAAACCCTAACCCAACCAGCCCACCACCTGCACAACCTGCCCCAGCCGCCGACTGCCGCCGCTATCCCCTGCCCCCATAAAAACCGGCGAAATCTGCCCAACTACCACCCTAATAACCGCCGACTCCACCTCCTCCCCTCTTCCCCCTCCTCGAAAACCAGCCCTATCCCTTCAAACCACCGCATAAACCACCCAGCCATTCAAACCCCTTCAGCCCGCTTGAAATCGGCGGCCAAAATCTACCAATCAAGGGCTGTCATGGTCGATTTCGGCTGTTTTGAGGGTGAAAGGTAAGGGAGGATGGTTTTTGGGGTTCGGCGACGGTGATGTTGCTGTGGTAGGTAATCCTGGGCACCGTGCCGGGCCGTGCCGCCGCGGGCCACGGGCTGTTTCGTGCCGTGCCGGTCGTGCCGGCGGGCCCAGGATTTCGTGCCGTGCCGTGCCGGCCATTTTCACAGGCCAGCCCACGGCACGGCACGGCCCTCGTGCCTGGCGGGCTCGTGCCGTGCCGGCCACGTGCCGGCCTGCGGGCTGGCAGCGGGCTGGTGCAGTTTTCAAATTTTTTTTTTTTTTTTTTTTATATGACAACATTATAAATTAATAAGTTTATAATGTATATAAGTTATTAAATTATAATTATAAGTTTTATAAGGTTATAACTTATAAGTTTATAACTTATAAGTTATTAAGTTATGAATTTTATAATTATAAGTTGAATATTTATGTTTTATAATTTGTATATTCAATATTTATATTTATATATTTACTTTATACTATTACTTTAAAATTTAATGTTTATGATTTATTAGTAATTGGTATAATTTTATTTTTTTTTAATATGAATTTACAAATTGTAACAAAACGGGGAAAAAAGGCAAATTGGACTTTGGATGTGAATAATGCGTACTTTATATTATTATTACTTGAGTTGAGAAAATTGTACAATGATAACAATGATAAAAATCATACAATGATGGTATTAAACAAAAATTGGAAAATGATAAAATTGATATTTTTAAAATCGTACAATATACAATAATTGTCTATTCTTCTTCTCCTTCTTCTTGCTCGTCTTCGTCTTCGTCTTCGTCTTCGCCTTCGCCTTCAAGGTCATCGGCTAGTTGCATAGATTGGGAACTAGCCGAACCCGAACCGGAAGCGGAGGTTCCTTCTTCGTTGTCGTTGTGGTCGTAAGAACGGTCTTGTGAGCGATTTTCCGCATCCAACCAATCTTTGAAACACACGCACATTTCTAGTGTTTCGGGTTTTAGACTTGTTCTTCTATCGTCTAAAACCCTTCCGGATGCGCTGAAAGCTCGTTCGGAGGCGACGGAGGAAACTTGGATAGCAAGAATCTCTCGTGCCATTGCCGCCAAAGTTGGATGCTTCGAGCTTTGATGTTTCCACCATGCAAGGAGGTCGAGGCTGTTTATCTCATCGTCGTCCATGCTTTTGGTGAAGTCGTAACTCAGGTATATCTGCAACTCCGAGACGTCGCTTTGCGTTCTCCTGATTGATGAATCACCTGAAAACCTTGAAATCAAGTTAGTAGCTTGTGAAAATAAATGTTTGGCCTTCTTACTTACGTTTTTGGATGGTTGGGAAGGCCCTGAGCGAGGAACGGTGCCATATTTGGCTTCATAGACTCTATATAAAGCAAAAAACTGATCCTTCACATTAGTCTTATAGTTTTCTACATCATCGTCAAGAAACATGCATTGAAAGTAAATGTCAACTAACATAAATGTGTTTTCATACTTTTGCCTAGGATCTAATATGGAAGCAAAAATATAAATCAAAGGAATCTCACTATAATATTTACGCCACTTTTTTTCCATTGCTGGAAGATACTGATCATAATCACTTTGATGGCGATGATCAGCGAAAAGTTGGGCGAGTAAGCATGCATTAGAAAGAAAGTTTTGAGCACAAGGATTGTAAACAGTAGAAAAACAATACGCCATGTTATATAATAATTGTAAAAATTGCATATATCTTTCACAGTTTTTCCAATCATCATCATACAAAGCATTTTGTGGAAATTTTTGGTTGTAAAATAATGTTAACGGGCCCTTGTACTCAATTGCCTATGTTAACATGTCATAGGTGGAATTCCACCTAGTTGGGCAATCGGTTCTAATTTTTATTACCCTTATCTTTTGTTGTTTTAGAAAACACTTCCATTCTTGGTATCTCATGTTAGAGCTATTAATAGACATAATAGCATCTCTGATTTTGCTGTAGTATGGGCCAATTGCCCGAACTCCATCCTGTACACATAAGTTAAGTACATGGCAAACACATCTAGTATGAAGAGTTTCACCGTCTAATAGTACATCGGTTAAGTTTTGTTTGATAAGATTAGCTGTGTATGTCATAGAGGTTGCATTATCAAAAGTCATAGACATCATTTTATCTCGAAGGTTGTATTCGTCTATTGCTTGCATTAAATGGTGAGCAATGTTAATGCCGGTGTGTGGGTATTCCAGCATTTTGAAATGTATTATTCTTTTTTGTAACATCCATTGATCATCTACCCAATGGCAAGTCACACATAAATAGTGATATTTATAACCACTATCCCAAGAATCGGCTGTTAAAGATACTCTACAGTTAAGGTTACTCAATTCGGCTTGTAACCGGACTTTGTACTCTAGGAAATTTTTCATTGCGGCGGAACGAACGGTTTTCCTAGAGATTCTTTTATGTTGGGGTTGTAGTGCTTTGTTAATGTAGGTGTTGAATGCGTCACTTTCCGAGAAAAGAAAAGGTTGTTCGGCGTGTACTATCATTTTTCCTAGTTCATCCCTATCCCTCTCATAGTTGTATGTAAAGCCGTATGGATGGAATTGGGAAATTTTGGGCTGGGTTGGATCACTAGCTGGTTTTGCACAAGCTTTCATGTGTCTAGATAAGTGTCCCGTCCCGTTTTTGGTAACTGCCGTGAATACACTATTACATGTTTTACATTTTGCCCATTGTTCACCATCTTTACTTGGGACAAAATAACGCCATTTCGGTTAACCATTCATGATGTGTGTGATGGTTAGTAGTGAGACTAGTGGGAGTGGCAGTAGAAGGGGTAGAACCGGAGGGAATTCGGGTACTTTCTTGGCTACCTTGGCTAGAACAATAGTTTTGTTGATCACCGATATAATTAGGTGGAAATTGGTATGGTGGTAGTGGAAATTGGTTTAGTGGTGGTGCTGGAAATCCCGACGTATTATATGGCTCATAGCCCGGGGGGAAGTAAATGGGGTCATTGGTTTGACTCGTAATTTGGGGGCTCGTTGTATTTGGTGGTTCCCTAGAACTACTACTACGGATAAGTCGGCCTTTCCCCCTAGACCTAGATGATGGGTTGTTCGATGCCATAATTAACAATTAATTTTTTAATAAAAAATGGTTAACTATAATAATAATAATTAATAACAACAATTTTAACAATAAAAATATCAATAATATTAATTAATAACAACAACTATAACAATAACAATAACAACAAAAATAAATAATAACAACAATTGTAACAATAATAATAATAATTAATAACAACAATTATAACAACAACAATAACAATTAACAACAATAATAATTAAACAAGATTATTCTAATAATAACAATAAAACAATAATAAATTTAAGATTAGTTTAGATCTTACAACCGTGCTTCAACGCTCCACTAATTACGATTACGAACTTTTTAATTTTTTCCGATATTAGGAAAATAATTAGAGAATTTAAGAGAATAATTAGAGAATTTAAGAAAATAAGGATTATTAGAGATTTAGAGAATATAAGAGATAAGAAGAAGAGATTGTGATTTTGTGATTTGGGAATGAAATGGAGGTGAGTATTTATAGCATTTTTGGGGAGCAAATTGGCGTTTTTTGCCCGTTTTTTTGGCTTATTAAGGAGCTAGAATAAACGGTAACATTACGGTTGGCCCGCGGGCCGTGCCTACGGGCCGTGCCTGCGGGCCAGCACGGCGGGCCATGCCCGTGCTCGTGCCGGGCCGTGCCTGGGAATTCTCAACCCTGTCCGTGGCACGGCCCGTGGCACGGGAGTTGAACTTCGTGCCGTGCCGTGCTTGAATTCGGGCCGTGCCGGGCTGCGCCGAACGGCGGGCCGTGCCGGGCGGCACGCGGGCCAACCCGGCCCGTGCCCAGGTTTAGTGGTAGGTGGTGATTTGCGGTGGGTAGGTGGTGATTTGCAGTGGTTAGGCAGGGTTGGCGTGGTTTCCGGGGAGGGGGAAGAGAGGAAGGGAGGGTATCGCCAGTTTTGGTGGGGGCAAGGGATGCCAACGGCTTGGATTAGGCTGTCGGCGCGACTTGGGAAGGTGGTGTCGGTGGTGGGGCACGCGGGATTTGGGTTAAGGTTTTTTTCTTTTTTTTTAAAAACCAATAGGCATTTGACATGTGTCTGTCATGGCCCCATTAACGGATTCCATCCAAAACTCCGTTACGAGGTGGTGAAATCAAATTTTTGAGTGTTTTTGTGGTGTTGTAATGAAGGTTTTATTTTTTATTATTTTTTTTTTTTTTTTTTTTGTGGTGTTATTTTCTAGAATATCCTTTTATCTGCTAAGCTCTTGAATGATTATTTGCTGCTGCATTTCCATCCTTCTGCTTGAGGCTCGTTAGGATGTCAATCAATTCTTTCAGCATTTTGGTCATTAGAATTGGGATGGAGAGTGAGCTAAGGGGGTAAGTGTATTATAAAATGTGAGATCCATTTCCTACTTTGAGGGCCTAACATATTGCTACATAAGCTTCTGCTAAGTTTTGTTTGCCAACTTGCAACTCCCTAACGCTCCTTTTTGGGCAACATGTTCATTAGCTGTCTCATTCGCATTAAATTCATCAGCCAATGACCTTAATATGATTTATCTTTGATTACAGATAGGAAGAAGAAATTTTATTTGAATAGGATGAGCTATCAGCTGTGTAAGCTCAGCATTACACTTACAAACAATCCCTTCACCAAAGCACTGCACCTTCATTGTAACCTGTTTCTTATCTCCTATGCATGTTGATGCTTGGATTAGCCCTTTAGTTGCTATTTTGTCACGTGCTTTTCACATTAATTTCCAAATGTAATTGTAAGGTATTGAAAGATGGTTATATAATGGCACGAAAATATGGGGAAATTAAGGGTATTTTAAATGATAAAGGTAAAAAAAAGTAGGTGTATTATGGATTAATTACGTGAATAAAAAAAGCTTATTGGAAATAGGCATAACATTTTAGGACATCTAGAAAAGAATACAACAGAAGTTACTAATTTAAATGTGGAAGCTTATCTCTTTTGCATCTTGAAATCTGTAGCATTGAAATTATGGTTTTAAGGGTTGCCTTTGACAAAAAAGACTTTATACTCCCTCAGTCCACAAATGATCTTTTTAGGTTTGGACACGCAGATTAAGGAATTTGAAAGGGCGGAGTTAGAATATGAGAGAAAGTAAGGTAGTGGAGGGGCCCACATCACATGGGTTGAGTGTAACAATTTTCCAATTTATGTAACATGAAGATTTATTGTGGACATTCTAAAAAGGAACAGGAATATTATTTCTGGACACAGGGATTACTTGCTATCTATATATGCAAATGAGAAAGAATATGATTCCATGTTTCTCCGTCAAACGGATTTCCTTTGTTGCTAAAATAATAATGCCTTACATGTCCCTATTAGTTTTCGTTTAGTGGCATCACTGGCATGTATGGTAATTGTTCAATCTTTGATACCTAATTTGAATTTTGGTGTTAGACGAGGTGTCCTCATTAGAGAAGCTGATAGTGACGAAATGGCGCCAGTTGACATCACTCCCAAAGAATTTTCTGTTCGCTCGCGTGCTCAGGAATATGGAGGTGGTGCCTTTGCAGTTTCTGGAAATAAAGTAGTATTCTCGAATAATAAGGATCAAAGACTCTATCTGCAGTCAATTGGTCCTGGAGGTAATGTGCTTATATAGTTATATGAACATCTTTTAATTTGTTTTTGTTTTTTCCCCATGTGTTGAGGTTACAACTTATAACAAGTTAAATGGAAAGAGTTATTGGCCTAGGCAATCCCTGGGTGATTTTATGCTGCATGAAAATATACAAGTATTTATTACTTTTACAAAATTGTTAATTTAAAGGCTACATACATCAAATGGAGATAAATGGTTTGATTGTAATAAAATTATAACTGTTAATTGGATGAAAATGTAATAAATGATAATGCATTTGTCAGAAATTTTATGTAAATAGATCTCTTATCTTTTAGGATTTTAGAAATATGGATGTGATTAAATAAGTTATAAAATGTAACAAATTAGTTGATGCCTTTACATTTCTAATAAGAGGCTGTGGATTCATATCTTGATGGATACATTTTCTTAATGTGAAGAGTATTTTAGTTGCATCAGTAAGGATTTAATGGGGAGTGAGGCGAGTGAAACTTGGAGAATTAGCATGTGATTGCTTTGGGCTTTAGGAATAGTATAGATATGCTCCTGTCACACATAGGTCTCTAATGGCGGGGCATAAATTCTTGTATATATTTCCAGTTTTTGTTGATAATCGAAAGCTTTATGCTATAGGTGATTAGGTGATGGTTTCTTTTGTATTCTTGCTGTACGAAATTATGTTATAATATGTCAACTAAATTGGTATCAGGCAATTAGAGGGGATGCCATTTCCTTTGTAATATGAATTATGGTTGGATGTAATAATGACTTTTGCTTGTGTTACTTTCTGATGGACTGGGATCTTGTAAGGTGATTGGTAGCATTTGCTTCTGTAGATTCTTCTCCGTCTCCGATTACTCCAGATTATGGTGGGCCCACAATTTGCTATGCTGATGGAGTGTTTGATCCTCGTTTCCCTCGTTTTATCACTGTAATGGAAGGTATGTTATAATTTTTTTTTCTGTCTACAATATTTGCTTTTTTTTTTTTTATATATATATATTTTTGTTTATATATATATATATATATATATATATATATATATATATATATACATATATATATATACATATATATATATATATATATATACATATATATATATATATATATATATATATATATATATATATATATATATATACATATACATATATATATATATATATATATATATATATATATATATATATTTATTTGTAGGTTTCTTTATTTCTAATTTTTATAAGGGGTTTGGGGGGGGGGGGGGGGCGTCTTAGATCATGTTGTACCCAAATATATTAATTATTTCCTTCGATATATTGCCAGATCAACGTCTGAGTCACTCAAATCCAGTCACCACAATTGCAGCAATTACCCTGGGAGATCATGATGTTCAAGGTAAGAAAGGAACATACTCTTTTGAAGTTTTGGTGGATTAATCATTGTCTCTCTTTCTGTATGTGTGTGTGCGCGCGTGTGTGTGCATGCACAGGTTGTGCGCTATACATTCATTTACTGCATGTAATATTAGGTTGTTTATTCCAGAACCTAAAATTACCCCATATCCTGTGCCAAGTTCTGTTTCTGGTCCGCCTTTTCAGTCATCAATTTTTCTTATAGAAATCAAGAACCATGTTGGATATTGAGTTATTGACTATTATTCTACTGGGCTGTCATTTTCAGAACCTAAAATATTAATTAGTGGGAATGATTTCTATGCTTTCCCACGTGTGGATTCCAAGGGGAAGCGAATAGCTTGGATTGAGTGGGGCCATCCCAACATGCCGTGGGACAGATCAGAGCTTTGGGTTGGCTACATATCTGAAAATGGGTGAGTAAGATGCCAATTTGTTACCTCTTTTTTCAGTTGCACATTCTCAAGCTTGTTATTTGCACATTGATTGTAAATGACTGTTACTCAGAAACATGAAATTACTTTTTAATTTTGATAGACATCGACATATGAACATTTGTGCAATTATGGTCAAAATATTTTTATATTATTCTGGATAATGATGTCTACATGCAGTGGCGGATCAAAGATTTTATGGATGGTGGGTTACCACTAATGGTGAGATATCCATAAATTCAAATTTGGCAAGATATCGTCCTGTAAAATTTCCTACTGACGACAACATATTCCCTTAATATTATTGGTTAATATAAAAATAACTTGAAACTTATAACAATGTCATAACAATGTCTCTATCTTGTTATTGGGTACATCTAGCTAGCTGATGTGCTTTTAACTAAAGTTTATTAGTTTTGCTAATTTGATGAACATTAACAATGTGTTTGAATAAAGAAAGGGGAAGGAAAAGAAGGGGAGGGAGAGAAGAGGAGGGGAGGGAAAGGGAAGGGAGGGAAGAATGGTGAGTTTTCCTTCCTAGAGGGATCAATTTCCTACAATCTAATCCCTCCATTTCTCTCCCCTCCAATTCTCTTCCTCCCTCATTTGTTATTTAAATGAAAGATAATCTCTCCATTTCCCTTCCCTTCTTTTCCCTCCATTTCCTTCAATCCAAACACACCGTAAATGAGGAGAAAAAACATCTTGAGTCGATATGGTAAAAATTTGTATACTTGTGATGATTATTATTAGCGTAATTTTAAATTTATTGTAAATAGATGAAAACTTAGTGCATAAGACAATTTGATTGGTTACATATAATAGAATGTAACATGTTCATCAGAAATCTAAATTTTACACATGAGTAATAATTATCTTTAAACTTAGTGCGTAATTTTTTTTTTTTTTTTTTTTTTTTTTTTTTTTTTTTTTTTTTTTTTTTTTCAAGTTTCCTACAACTAAAACAACAACAACAACAACATAGCCTTAGTCCCAAAATGATTTGGGGAAAGTTTTCCTAACATAAATAAAATTATTTGAGACTAGGAAGATTGAGTTTCAATTGACAAAAATAGAATATAAAAAGGGGAAAAGTTAAGTTAAAAAGAAAAATAAAAAAATGAAGAGCTAACATTGAGAACAAGAATTGAACCCATGATCTAGGGAAGTTAAATGGAGACACAAACCACCAAACTACCACTTCAATAGTCGTCCAGTAATGTGTATTCATATTTTTATACTAACTTTTTTACCATAATTATTTACTTATTATTTAAAAATGGTTGGTCATGTGCACCACCATGCACAATAGTAGATCTGCCAATGTTACATGTTTAGGGGAAATAGGACCGGAGTTTTTTTTTTTTTTTTTTTTTTTTTGGGGGGGGGGGGGGGAGGTGGTGGTATTACTGTAGAACTGGGAAGGAGGGTTTCAGAGTGTGCTTTAATAAAAATCTTAAGAACAGGAAGTTAGAAAATTGAGATTCTTCTTCCTTATGGAAGTTTTACCTCTAAAACTCTTAGTTGGCAAACTGTGGTCCACTCATTTAATTTTTTAATTCTACTGTAAATTTATTAACCTGAATTTGGGCTCAATTGAGCAGTAAAGTACCTCATAGTTTTTTGAAGTATGTAGCCCAGGGTTGTGTGTTATTTACTTAATTATTCATTTACCTGTTTCTTCTTATTTCTAAACGTATAAAAGGCACTTTTGTTGTTAGTTAAACTATACAGGAGAAAAAAAGAGGTTTGTTTACAATTGACCATACCTTTTAAGATAAATGGTACGGTTGACCATAATAGCAGTTATTCAAATTTGGTGACTGCAAGCGTACCATTAAGAAACGGTTGGTTATAGGTTAACCATTAACTCATAATAATTAAATTCCTTTCAACACCACGTTAGTTTCTGTTTGGTATTTTCCACAACCGCTTCTTCTTCATTCCTGATTCAAGTGATTGGTTCTCCAATATGTTACTCTCAGGCAACAAATTGTCAATAACAACAATCTCCATTAACAATAATCTGCAGGAACAAAGAAAACATATGAATACAACAAGCAAGTGCAAATATCACTCAATTAGGGCTGAATTAGAAGAAAATCAAGACTAAGTGAGAGACTAGCATGAAATTAGAAGCAAAAAAAGACCATTGGTTTTAGTTTAGGACGAAATTCAAAGACTAAGTGAGACAAAGAACACTACAATAATTTCATGAAAAAAGACTTAAGTGAGAGAGAGAAAACCCAAGAGAAAAACAGATTGAATGAGAGCAGGCATACCTGAAGAACAACAGCATTTTTTGATGGTGTAGCCTCACTGCTCCAGTGAAGAAATGAAGAGGATTCTGGTGAAGAGAAACAGAGAAAGAAAATAATGAAGAGGTTGGAGGCAGCTGAAGAGTGTTTGGGGAATTGGGATCTTTATAGGGGAAAGGATAGTTGCATTAATTTAGTGAGAAATAATTAAAAAAAAAAAAAAAAAAAAAAAAAAAAAAAACTGTTTAATTTGTTGGTTAACCATTTACTGAAAATAAAAACCATGACCGTAATCGTTAACTGCTATCTTTATCAGTTTGGTTAACCATAACCGTTAAAAAGTCAACATACTCCATGTTGTGACTTTTGGATGCACTGGGTCACTGCCATACGCAGGTTCACATTTATGAGAAGGTTATACTACTGATACATGAGCATTAATTTTGTATAGTGTACTCATGTCCTACTTGATCTATGCTTTCTAGGCTTGGGCTTGTGGCTCTATTGATAGAACTATCTGGTTGACAGTTAAGAGTATTGGGAGGTTGATTAATGCATTAACAAATACGAAGTATTATTTAAATTGTCATTATTATGTGTATAATGTAATGTAATGATGTAGTCTTTCACAAAAAAAAAAAATCATTATCTCGTCTTTTTATTTTGTTGAGAAATATTGAATTAACGAATCACTACCGTATGCTTTTTTCATTTTCCATCATGTACAATTGTAATTTTCTTACTTTATAATGTTCTATTCTTCATCTCAAAGCTACTTTTATACCTATTGTGTCTTCATGGTTACTTTAATTGCTTGTTTAATACTTTTTGTGTAGAGATGTCTACAAACGCATATGTGTCACTGGTGGGGATGGCACCCTTGTTGAGTCTCCAACCGAGCCCAAGTGGACACCAGAAGGTACTTTTGCACTGCCAAAATGCTAATTATTATTTTTATGTTACTACAATAATTTGTTTAGCATGTGAATTGCAGTCTAGTAAGTGAGTGGTACATTTCAAGTTTTCATTTTATTTCATCAATAAATTTGTTTATCAAATTTTGCACTGCCAAAATGCTAATTATTATTACTATGTTACTACAATAATTTGTTTAGCATGTGAATTGCAGTCTAGTAAGTGAATGGTACATTTCAAGTTTTCATTTTATTTCATCAATAAATTTGTTTATCAAGTTTTGCACTGCCAAAATGCTAATTATTATTACTATGTTACTACAATAATTTGTTTAGCATGTGAATTGCTGTCTAGTAAGTGAATTGTGTATTTCAAGTTTTCATTTCATTTGATCCAATATGCATTTAAGGCTGATAAGCTGCTCGCTGTAATCCTCTATTTGTTTATTTATATATATTTTTGACGGTGAAGGAAAAAATTTCATTCATGATAAGCCATATGGCATCTAAAATGGAAATAAACCTAAAACAATACAAATTCAAGAAATACTACTCACTAGTACTCCCTATGTTTCAAGTTAAATGCAACATTTTGACTGCATACTTGTCGATGCACATTTTTTAAAATTAATATCTAATTATCAATTAGTAAATATAATGAAAAATTGATATGTAGAAAATATACATTGACATAGATCTAGAAACATCTTATGTTCTTACAACATGTTTTTTATAATAAGATAATGTGTTTTTATTATGTAACAATGTGTGTGTATTTTTTCTTTCTTTCTTTTATTTTTTTAATTTTTTTTTTGTATTTTTGTATTTGTTATTATTTTTGATTTTTTAATGTTATGTGCTTTTATTCCCTTCTAATTGTCTATGTACTTTTATTTATTAACAATGTTCTTTTATAATACGGGGTAATATTTGTGCTTTTATTGTAGTGCTATGTGCTTTTGTTCAGTTTGCATGTGGTATTATCATACAAAAGTACCAAAAGGTCCAAAACAATCCCGGTCACATGTAGATTCACATGTAACCAAGTGTATGTTGTAATTTGTAGTTATTGATAACCGAAAATCCGGTTGAATGTGAAAGCTACCAAAATTTGGTGGAATCCTAGTATATATATACCTTTCCTGTTTATAGAAATAGCCAAACAGTACAAACAGATAACAGATCCTGCTGCATTGTCTGAAAGATCTTGTTTGTAATGGTGATGACTGATGAGGTAAATTCTTTGGGTGTGCTTTCATCTGTTGGTAAGCTGAGTGCCAAGGACCAAGCTGCCGTTGCAGATGATGCAGTATTAAATTTGGTGATAGTGGTTAATATGGCCAAAGAAGGTGAAGTGGCTTAGAGCATTGCCAACAATGAGCAAAAAAATGCTCATGAGCAAAAGTTTGAGTGAAATTACAAAAAAATGGACTTACACCAATGAGCAAAAACAAATTTGCTCATGAGCATAATGAAAAATGCTCATAGGATGAGCATTATTGAAGGTGAATTGTAACTATGTGGGGTCCACAAGGTAAGTAAAAATAAAAGATAAAAATAATATAGTAAAGAGAAATGTAAGTGGGTGTTAGTAAAAAGTAAGAGAGAATGATGTGGTAGAGAGAGAATGGTGAAGTAATTTTTTTTGATCATTGGTGAGATAAAAATATGATCACAAAAATGCTCATGAGTTGGAGGAGAGAGAAAGTGGGTAGAGAGAGAATGAGGAAACCATTTTTTTCATTGTTTGCTCATTGTTGACAGTGCTCTATGTTGATGTAGCATTGTGAGAGACCATCCATCTAGACTTTTCACTACAAGACCACTAAGATGATTGCATTGCTTGGGACTAGGGAGCTCTACCTTCAGGCAGTTATTACTAGTGGAATGTAGACATCTTATTCAAAATATGATCTATGTGGCAGATTGGGTTCAAGTCAAATGACCTGTCTTTCTTCTTAATCAACAGAGGAGCAATGATGAGAGAGTAATAATTAATTATATCATACCTTTTGAATTATTACTGTCATTATTATTAGTGGGTATGTTGTTGGGGAGGGGTGGGATTCATAATGGATTCTATCTAATGTGTCATAGTAAATTCTTAGAGGGTTTTATAGTTGTTGTAGAGTTCTTATTTTAATGGCATTATTTAGGAGTCATATATAGTTAGAATTCTGTATTTATTTATTTATTTTAGAGTTCTTATTATAATGGCATTAGGAAACTATTGGGCTTCTTGAATTTTGAATTAGATCAAGAATTCTCAATTGTTTTCTTAATCTAACTTGAACTATATTTAAAATATTCATATAGCTTTATTATTTTATGATAGTGCAAATGCTGAAGCAAAGCTGATAATATTATTGTGAATCTTGTGATAGTTGTAATCCGTCTTTGATTTGTTGAAATGCATGAACTTCAGGCTTTTCTTATAGTGGTGTAAGCAAGCCAAGCTCGTTTGGTTACTAAAGTTTGATTTTTCCTACATGTTCCTTTTTGTAATTAATAGAACCACAAGATGTTTTTTTAATAATAAGTTGTGATCTGCCTTGGCTGTTCTAGCACTTGTATGTAGCTGTAGCCTTAAATTAAGTCACTCTTCACTTGCACTGGACAAAAGTCTATATGTTAGAAAACTTTCAAGTATTTTAATTCTAAATGTTAATACTTTATATTGGTTTGCACAGGTGATCTACTTTTCATCACTGACAGGAAAAATGGATTTTGGAATCTCTATAAGTGGGTAAGGCTTTTAGATTTTAATCCAGATGCGTAACCAGTATAAGATGAGTAGCTTGTTTACTTGTTATAACATCTCTAGACTCCCTTCTTGTGCTTACTGGAGACTAGATTTTTGTGGGATGTGACATTAGGGTCGCTGAAAAAGATGAAACCACTATGACAGTACTGCCACAAGGCCCACAATGCCACATACTTCTCTTGGCACGCTGTAGATCACCCTTTTGGTTTGGGTGGTCCTTTCTACAAGGAAAAAAAAAATTGAAATAAATTATGAGGGAGAAAGTTATGAGTGAATCTCAGCAGTGTATTGGCTTTGATTGTGAGGTAAAATGTGTCACTCTTATTGAGTAAAGGGTATCAATTTGAGGGACCCTAGGTGATCTTGCCCATGTTTGGCTATTGAATAGAAATGTGACATTCGGCACTTATTTCTTGTCAATGACTGTATTAGGAGTCATTGACTGTATGTTTGGTGAGTTAAGTTTACTTAGGCTGGTAACAACTAACTAGTGCCTTTGACAAAACCAGGCATGGTAGGATTAGGTGACAATGATGTACAAGCTCACTTGTGGTTCTTGCTTTCTCATGATGTAGAGGCATGGTGGGCATTATTTGATTTGATGTAGAAATTGAAATTGAGAAACTAGAGATAAAGAAACAGTCTATACATGTCAAACATGTGTTATTTTACGTTTGGATTGAGAAGTTCTTGTAGTTCGGTTAAATCTAAGGTGTTTATAATTCCTTTTCTCCTATTTGTATTGTTCGGTTAAAACAATAATTCAGTTCATGTTTGACATGTATGAAAAAGTAGGAGAAAAGGAATTATAAACACCTTAGATTTAACCTTATGCATTGAGCAATAACCTCATGTTTGACATGTATGAAAAAGTGAAATCAAGCATTTAATTAATGGACGCTTTTTTTACCACAAATCTCCTTCACATTCTCACAAATAATTCAGTTCCTTAAGTTATAAATCAAATACTAACTGGGGAGGTATAAAGTGTGTTATTGACAATGCAAGGAGGATGAAAGGAGGGTAATTAATTGTGATGTCACTTTAATATTATTTCCCGTCAATAAAGTAGAATAACTATCTCGGTACCTAGTAAGAGTGTAAGAATTATAACATGTTTCCTTTATTTATAGGTCCTTATAACGATTTATGTTTGTTGAGGTTCAACGTCAACCATATTCAATTAGTGATTATTTTGATTTGCTGATGTTTGGAAGCTGATTCTTTTGGCAATCTGGTACTAAATCAGCAATTTCGAGTTCAAAGCCTCATTATGTCAAGAATTTCAGTTGGAGTGTCTCAATTATACATGTATAGCTGGAAGATAGAATCTTAACAATGCAATGTGTTTGAAGTGATACTGTTTAGTTGCTTAATTTAATATTACTCAATCGAAAGATTGAAATGTTCGATATCCGCATAATCCAACAAAATAAAGAAGGAATGGACCATTATTTCTCTCTCAAGGAGCTTATATTCATTTGTTATGTGGATATATATTATATATTGAATTGTAGTTCATATCAAGGATAAATATTAATTGTTGTGCGCCACTTTTCATTTGTAGCAGCTGGTATTGATAATTGTTAATGTGTATACTTGTTGATGACAGATTGAATCGAAAAATGAGGTTATTGCTCTTTGCACCATGGAAGCTGAGTTCGCAAGGCCTTTGTGGGTTTTTGGCATGAACTCTTATGAAGTTGTAAACAGTCATGATCGAAAGAACTTAATTGCTTGTAGTTATAGGTATGTTTCTAATGTTGGTGCGGAGAATTGTTCTGGTTTATGCACATTAATTCATGTCTATCCTCTATAACAGCATTGTTCTGTTGGAAATTTAGAGTATACTGTCTTGCAACAAATGTAAAAAGAGATAAACTCTTTAAACCTTGTAACTTAATTTGATTGTTGGGTTTCACTTTTTACCAAGAATTGTATGATTGTCTTTGGGTTTGTCTATCTTGTCTTATAGAGAAATAATGCTTTTAGTTCTTGGTATTGTGTTGCAGGTTGAAAGGTAGATCATATGTTGGAGTCCTTGACGATGCTCAGAGCTCTTTGTCTCTTCTTGACATCCCTTTCACAGATATAAGCAATATTGTAATACCTCATTCCTCTACTTATTCTTTTTTGATGATTGAGAAGCTCTATCTTGAGCAATTGTGTGATAGTTTATAAAATTTGCCTCTTTCTTATGCAGACATTAGGTCCCAATTGCTTGTATATTGAGGGTGGATCTGCTTCGCTTCCACTATCGGTGGCTAAGGTGCACTAACTATCGTTTGAGCATTTCTTATGATCTTCCCACCTTTTTCTCTGTAATTACAAGAGTGCTGCTATGTTGGGTTACTTGGATTACTGATGGATCCTGTTTGTTTATTTACCGTGTTCGCTTGCTTCTTTTTTGTGTGAGTAGGTGTCCTTAGATGATCAGAAACGAAAAGCAGTAGATTTTAGCATTATGTGGTCCTCATCACCAGGAAGTTTGAAATATGACTCATATTTTAGCTTACCAGAGTTGATTGAATTCCCTACTGGGATAATGGGACAAACTGCTTATGCATACTTCTATCCTCCCACAAACCCTGCACATCAAGCTGTAGGTGGGGAAAAACCTCCACTTTTGTTGAAAAGTCATGGTATGTGTAGTTTTCTTTGCATATACTATATGAAATACACTGATGTATGCAATGTGCTTATACACTATTATCAATTGTGGCATTCCCTTTCTTCCCTGTATAATTAATCAATGATGTTCAGACTTAGGGTAAATATGTCGGACAAGGGTCTTGATTTAATAGCCTGACAGAATATTCTCCTGTTAAAGATTCTGGACAGGTGTGTCTTAATATAAGATATAGTCTGGTAGAAGGATACTTTCTTCTGTTTCATATGTATTATTATTGGGAAAGTATCTATTTCTACAGATTTTTGCCAAATTTGAAGTATTTAGATATTCAAATGAAATACAGTGTCAGAAGTCTAGTATATATATAATGAGCTAATTTAAAGAGTTGGAGCTTAGGTTTTGGCTAGCAAGTTCATAATTCAATTTTGTTTCTAATAATGATCTGTTTGAGCTATGTACAACCTAAGACGTAGTTTTTTTTTTTTTTTTTTTTTTTTTTTTAAAAAAAAAAAAAACCATAGTGCTTTTTCAATTTGTAATTTGGGAGAAATTTTTGTGTTGTTTCTTTTAGCAAGTATCCTAACAAACAGAAGAATGCTAAGGAACAGATGGTTTTTCTTGGTTACACATTGAATTACTTTCTGGTTTATATAAAAAAGTCAAATCAATTTGGGAATAATAGGCTTATTATTGCTCCGTTTGGATGTTAGAAGCTTATGCATATTTTGTGAGTCTGATCAGTTCCATTATATCCAAACTTGTTTAGGAGGACCCACTGCAGAGACTAGTGGAATCCTTAATCTTAGTATACAGTACTGGACCAGCCGTGGCTGGGCATTTGTGGATGTTAATTATGGTGGAAGTACAGGTTAGTTCTACCATTTCTTAATCTTTCCTTCATAAGAATGCCAGTTAAAATTTTATGCTTGGCCAAAAGAATTTATGCAGCCTTTCTTGTCAATTGTTGACCTTTTATAAAAATGCTCTCGTTACTTGAGAGTGCTCACTATCGGTCTCTTACTCTCATGTACATTGTAAATTTGTAACTGAGAGTAACCTTTTTGCAATTTGAGTTTTATCTTTCCTTTTTCTATAGGCTATGGAAGAGAATACCGAGAGCGCTTGTTTAATAACTGGGGCATTGTTGATGTTAATGATTGTTGCAGTTGTGCTAAATTTCTGGCAAGCTCTATCCTTAGTTCTTTCAGTCATTGCTCCTGTTGTTGTCCAACAAGCTTTAAAATTAAATTTTATTTGTTTGATTTGGCAGGTGGACAATGGAAAGGTAGATGGTGATCGACTCTGTATAACTGGGGGTTCTGCTGGTGGATATACAACATTAGCTGCTCTTGCATTTAAGGAGACTTTCAAAGCTGGGGCATCATTGTATGGTGTAAGTAAGTCAATTCTGTGATAACAACAGGTGCTGATTGTTGACCAACTTTGGAAAATTCAATATTTCTTTTGATTTACTTGCTTATTCAATTCGGAAGTGATGTTAGTTTTAGTTTGACTTTCAAAAAGATGATCTTGGATAATATTTTGGATGTTTTGATTGTATCTTATGTACTAAATGAGTGATATGAGAATATGATGCTTGACTCTGTTACTGAGAACACAGATTAAACAATTGAGTATAATTTAGTTAATGCTCCCTATGAACAGTAATCAATTTCAGAGTGGTTCTGTCATAAATATATTAAGGCTAAAGGAGTATATGTTGGAACCCTCGTAAACAAATTTGGGTTCTTTGTCGTAAGGACTGATATCATTCATCCTTAGTTTGTGCAAAATCGTTGAATGAACTGAAGAAAATAACCCTAACTCACCTAGGACTAAAAAATAGAACAAAAGCTGAGAACATTTCTAAGTGCCATGTTCCCAGCCACACGTAACATAAATAATTATGACCAAGAATAAAATCGTTGTACAATTTTGAAATCTAGCAGGCTCCCATGTCACTTGGAAAACTCCAAATTCATTAAAAATAAATAAATAAATAAATAAAGCACTGATTTTGGACTGCTTAGTTTAAGTATTAAATGTAATAGCAGTAAGCGCTTGTGACTTCTTTGACATCATAACATGTTTACAATGGTATCTTACCATGATTCCGGAGTTGAAAACTTGTGCATGAGTATGCCTTTATTTTGATGTTTTGGCAAATCAGCTTATTTGTTTTCTAAGATTAATACATATATATATTTTTAAACTTTATCAAATGAAAATTAAAACAATAAAGCCTCTCTCCTCATCCCTATTCATCCCGAAACATAATTGATATCTTTTTTTTGGCTCACTAACCTGTTTTACATGCCTCGGTTGATGAACAGGTAGCTGACTTAAACTTACTCAGAGCTGAAACACACAAATTTGAATCACGTTATATTGACAATCTTGTTGGTAATTATTCTGTTCCACCTGAAATAGAAAGTTTCAAAGAGTTTGCTTTCCATATCATTGGTTTTTTGTTTATTAGTTTGATTTTAACTCAACTAATTTAGTGTAACCTTTATACTGTTGTAGGGGATGAAAAAGCTTATCATGAGAGATCACCCATTAACTTCGTTGATAAATTTTCTTGTCCAATTATCCTTTTCCAGGGATTGGAGGATAAGGTATTTGTGATCTAATTTTCCTCTGCCAGTTACTAGGGGTGTGAATTGGGGTATTGGGCAGTCTGAAATGTATCAGTACAATTTCAAATTCAGGTCCCAATTGAAAATTTTACTTACCAAATTAGTTCAACTTCAATATGAAATTGTATGACACAAAACACATGGGTTTCCATTGACCATGAAACACTTGGGTGTATCATGCACACATTACGTCCACATCTTTTAGCTCATTTGGAAATCCTAGTGAGCAAAAATTAGCCTGGGGGGTTATTCAGGTGACTATAATTGAAACTGCACAACCACACAACTCATTGCGTTAACTGCGGATTTTAATATTGTTATACATGCTCTCATATTATTGAAATTGAATTATCTTAAAACTTACATGGTATTATTTTAAGATTTAAGAATTAAAATACTACACATGTTTAGAGCCTTTTCATATCTTCATAAATTATCAGAGTAAAATACGGAATGTATGATTCTTTTCTTTTTTATAATGTAAAATTTTTGAAAAAAAAAATTACATTTACAACGATATATTGAAATATGATGGTCATAGCTTGCAACTTAACACATTGGCTGATCCTGAAAATTTGGCTTATGGGTTCGAATTCATTGAAGGCTACTCTTTTTGAAAATGTAAGTATAGCTTATGGGTTCAGATTCATTTAGCCTAAGCTACTATTTTTGATAAATAAAACTAAATTATTTTTTCGCAACAAAACAACATAATAATTTTCCGTTTTTTTTTTTTTCCCCCCCAATTACAATTTAAAACTACTAATTTGGGGTTTTGATTATATACTTCATTCGGTTAATACTTGCAACACACATTCACGGTATTTAAGAAAAGTGAGACTCACATGATTTAATACACTTAAATGGGGTTGAGAGATTGTTAGGAGTAAAATTAAGTGGGCCATGAGCTTTAAATGAGGGTAATGGTACAACTTTCACTAAAATAAATTATAATTATAGTACGTTGCAAGTATTGTGACTTTTCCATTTTAGAGAATTGTTGCAAGTATTAAAAAGGTATCTAGTAAATAGCAAATAGCATATATTTTATCTGATGATAAAAAATAAAAAAAAAATGTATAAAATATTGAAGCTATAAAGACCTGTTGGCACTATCGTTATTAACACGTGTATTGGATAGGAATATTGGGTGGAAAGGAAGGGTAGGGAAAGTGAGTGATAAAATTTACCTTATTTGGATAAGGCATAGGGCAAGGAAAGGGAAAGGAAATGGAGAAATCCATTTACCTTCACATTTTAATAAACTGAATCCCTCCATTGTTGAGATTTTGAAGGAAAATAGGTCACTCTCACCCTCCCCTTGCCTCCCTTTCTCTTCACTCTTCCCCCCCTCCCTTTCCCTTTTTAATTGTTATGCTAACATAGTGTAAGAAAAATTCAAATGAGAATGAAAATAAACAAAAAATGTCTCATAGTGCTTGAACCCACGACTTAAATCACACCATTGCACGGTGGTTGTTCCGGAAATCATTGCAATCTGTTTTTTTTTTAACTGCTGTTTTTTTCCTGATCAATTTTTTATCCTTTTTTTTTTTTTTTTTTTTTTTTTAACATTCCAGTACAGGTTCAGTTGAACCTATACTAGATTTGCCTCTGACATAACAACCCTTGAGGCGTTTTTACTTTTATTTTTTATGGTTCTAATAATTATCCAATTGAGACCTCAACTTTAAGTATGCCTTTTTTTCCTACTGGTTTTAATTAATTGCTGAAACTCAAGAGTGATGGGAGTGATTTTCTGGTTATTGAATTTATCTCTTGAAGTATGAGCTTGGCATTGTATATTTCTTCTTTTTTAATAAAAAAAAAATATATATATATATAATTGTACGATATATCATGAACACTTTTCAGGTTGTACCCCCTGATCAAGCTCGAGCAATCTACAAAGCATTGAAGGAGAAGGGCTTGCCTGTTGCCCTTGTTGAGTATGAAGGTGAACAACATGGGTTTCGAAAGGTAGATGATGGTCTTTCATTAAAAAAAAAAATTTGTTTTCATATAAAATGTAACTATGCATACCCAAATGGGAATGTTTATACTTTGAATAATGCACAGGCTGAAAACATCAAGTTCACCCTTGAGCAACAGATTGTCTTCTTTGCGCGCACAATAGGAAACTTCAAAGTGGCTGATGATATTACTCCAATCAAGATTGATAACTTTGATTGATCACCAATTGACACCCTATTATTGCACTTTTGGGGCCTATTTGACTCAATTATGGCTTATGCAGTGATTATGATGATCCCGTGATAACAACTATTGTTGATGTTTACTTGCGTTGGCACAGTTTATTGACACGAATAGTCGAATAGATGCATGAGTGTATGACTCCAAAAGGTTGGCTAGACAGGCGTATATCTGTAAGGAGAAGTTTCCTTCCTTTTCTTTTGGGAGATGGAATTGTTATACTGGAAATGCTTCCCTTACTAATCTATGGTACTTTAGCGGATGTAATTGGATGATCAACTGAAGATTTGCTTTCTGATTCTACAGTTTATGTTCTACTTCTGATGCTTGTTTCTGGGTATATATATTTTACCAACTCATATGCAATTAGAAAGATACGAAGTACTAGTATGTAGTACTCGTGTAACTTCACACTTATAGAATATAATCAGCGACATATGATGTCCTGCTTCTCTAGTCCCGGGGACCTATGAGTACATGACTATTAGAGCCCATGATGTGGGGAAATTTCTTTCAAAATAGCTAGCTATCTTAGAATCTTACCATTTATTCTTTCGAAATGATTTCAAGTTTCAGTATGGATCTAACAAAATTGGAGAGGTCTAATTTGTTGTACTTGGTGAACAGACTAGTTATCTTATCTTTCATTCTTAACTACGATGAGCTAAAGACCATAGCCATGTGCTAGTGCATGAACTGTTGGATTGACTGCCAAGCGACCTAAAATCCCTTGTTTGTATGGGAGGAATGACTTCTTCCTCATATCTTGTGAGATAGCCTTATTCACAGTATAGTGCAACTCGTGAGCTGATATAGGTTCTCTTCGAGCAGGAATTATACTCGAGGAGCCTTGTGTTGATGGTAATCCGGAGCTATTGGCAACTTCATGTTTCCTATGCAGATGAGAATATTTCTTCAAAAGATCTTTCTCTGATGCTCGTCCTTCTGATGCACTACGAAACAGTAAGAGATCTTTTAACCTCCACTTTTTACTTCCTTTAGAAGAAGTGGACAATGTTAATGGAGATGAAGTTGGCTTTGAAGTGGAGGGGATTTCTTCTTTATTCTGTTCTTGTTCCCATGGATACTTGGATTCACGTGGTGGAGAAAGTGACCTTATTGCTCTCCTTCCATTCCTAGAGTCCGATAAAGCTGAAGTAGCTCTTTCTCTTGCTCGTTCTCTTCCTTTCTTATTTATTCTTGTTCCCTCGTTGTAAGCTGCAACTTTATCAGGTTCTGATTCTTTCTTTCGTTTTGGTGAAAACGTGCTCCAAAAACTCTTCTTTTGCTGTAATTTGGTTGAATGTGAAGATAAAAGAGGACTATCTACGGATTCTAGTTTGTGTCCTTCAAAAGGCAGAGGCTTTACAAGGGATTTGGATTCTGTCTTTGTAGCAAATGGGAAATCAAATGATAAATCAGAGGTAGATGTATCACCTCTCGTGTAGTTACTAACCTCGGAAAATTGCTCAACTTCACGATAGATCCCTATGGGTCGAGTTGGACTTGTTGGCGCGCTGAAGTAGTAATCACCGAACCCCTTGGGAGTCGATGGAGAGCTTCCACAGGGAGATGCCCGGCCGCTGTTGAAATCAAAATCTATTGATGAAGGTGATTGCATTTGTAATAACTCCATTTATCTTAGGTATAATTTGGAATAATATTTGTGATTATTGGCCCTTAAAATTGATATTACAATAAGATTGTTTGTTGTGCTTTACCTAAGTTATCAGCATTATGCTTATATTTTCTTCACTAGATTTCTATTTATTGAAAAAAGTTTGACTTTTAACTATAATTATAATGAAAATACGTTACATAGTATTAGAAATCAAGGAGGAAGTTGGTTGATGTTGAATTGTAAGCGTAATGGGTGGCATCATCTTTAGCTTTACCCCCACGTTTTCTAGCTAAATATAATAAAGTCATAGATTTACATTCTAGATGCATAACATCATAATATCTTTTGTCGCATTTTTTTCATTAAACAATTAACTTATGGTCCAATATTACGGTCTCAATAAATTATGGTATGTATTAAATGGAAACAAATGCACTCCATCTTAGCACCCCTGCACTCGAGCTGCATGGCAATAACAAGCAAAACATGATGCAGTGAAAACATTAAACTTCTCACAATCATGAAATTGTGAGATCAAATTTTATTGGTAGTTCTTTAAAAATGGAGAATTTGGGGGTTTTTATTTCCTCCACCTACTCTTCATTGGGACTCATGAAAACTCGGCTCCTACGGTCCTACCTACAATTAATACATAATAAAATATCATTAATCATGTTGAGTTGGATTCCACTATCACTCCTAGTGATGGATAGACAAAGTTTTTTCCATTTTTTTTTAATTAAAGAGCTATTAGACACAAGAGCAACTTTAATGGTAAACTATTATCAAATTAGCTTGTTATGCCCCATGAGATTTTTAACCTAATCTCTTTTGTAGCCAGTTTGTACCCTAATAGTTAGCTACTAGCTTGTAATTTAAATGAGTCTTAACTCTTAAATTATTATTTTAAACTTACTTTTATTAATATATCAAGCCCTCATTTTGACAACTTTTTTCTCATGCAAATGAGTTCTAAGCTAATTTAATATTTTTTTTAAGCTCTAATGGTCAAGCTAGTAGATAGATAATCTTCTAAATTGCAAGCAAGTCCCTAGCTATAACCATTGAAGATGCTCTAATGGATATGCTTCCTTAAATAGTGATGTAAAATGTTACTTCATATTTCTCGATGTTTAGATATTAATAGCTTTAATTAGAGGTTATGGTTCAAATATTGGTCTGATGGTACAGTCTCCTATATTTTTTGGTACAGTCCAGGATTTGCTGTAATTGGAATCCAACTTTGTAAGAACCTTCTCTTTGTCTTAAAATAATAATAATAAGGCAAAAGCTAATGAATGTCTAGGATGCGTTAACATTGAATAACATAACTATAAGTAGAAATATTAATTTGAAATAAACATTAATTACACCGATCAACGCGTGATTTTAACATGCCTTCCCAAATTAATACCATATTAGAAATTATTTTAAAGGGTTATCTACGTTTGCGGAGACTTGCCACATTACCTTTTGCTTATGGTGGATTGGTGTTTATTCAACGGGTGATGTTCGGCACTATGCTTTCCTTGCGTCGCGTTTGCAGTCTACTGGTCTTCAGGCTATGGTTCTTCGCAATTCTGGTTCGATGGTGCTCTTAGTTTTTTTAATAGGATTGTGGAGACTGACCTTATGAGTAACCCTAATGAGATCGCTGCCCCCAAACTCATGAAGAAATTGGCAGAATATATTTCATGAAGGTCACTGCATCTGCAGAATCCACTTTCTCCTTATCTCCGCGTCAGGTTGCCTTATGGAAGTCCCAGGAGGGAAATCACACTTCTGCCTGGTTGCGAGCGGTCCCAATATCAGGTTTGGGTCAGACTTTGAATGGTAAGACTTACCGTTGAGTTCTTTGCTACCGGTTAGGTGTTCCTTTATTCTCCATTTCAACACCGTGCACTGCTTGTTCAAGGGTTTTTGATGGGGATATTAATGAGGATCATGTAGTGTCTTGTGCTGGGATGGTGGGTATTAAGCACGACATAATGTTGCTCATGATACCCTTGTTGATATTTGTTTTCAGTTTGGGGTTTCTGCAAAAAAGGAGATTGATGTTGGGTTGACTGGAGGAAACGACGGGCCTCTTTGACCAGCAGATGTGTTGCTTTATTCATGGGACAGAGGACTTGATGTATGTGTTGACTTAATGGGATCTTCTCCTTTAACACAATTTGGGTTGTCTGACTTCGTTCCTGGTCGTGTTGTGTCGGTTGCGGCTCAGCAAAAGCGGGACAAGTATGGGGCGCGTTGCAGGGCTATTAGCTATGATTTTCTTCCTTTCTCCTTTTCTTCATTGGGGAATTAGAGAAGGATGTTGTTGCGTTGCTAAAGCGGGTTCAGGCGTTCGCTAGGACTCAGGATATTGGTGCTTGTGCATCTGCTCATATCTTCAACAGGATCGGGTTCGTTATAAGTAGAGGGGTAGGGACCTAGATTGTATCTCGACTCCCCACTAATTTCTTGTAAATCGATTGACTTTGTAAGTTTTTATTATTTTTCATTATAATAATAATAATAATAATAATAATAATAATAATAATAATAACACCCTAGCTGCATGTGAAGTCTTTGATCCGTTAGCATAATTAACGGAAATTCGATTCTTGTTATAAATGACGGTTTCTTTAATAACTTACATTTCTAGATAATAGATGACGAATTGACGACTTCTTCGTGTGTATTCATTATTTTGGTTGGTATACCACTATGAGGTGGTTCTAATATTCTATTAATACATCTTTTGACGAATTTTAACCTTACCGTCTAGAAGGTAAATTTGCCCCAGGTGTATGTCATCATAATGAATACTTCTGTTATTTTTAGTATTGCAACATTACAAGTTACATACCATTCACATACTCCTTTACGTTAACATACAATAATTTTATTTATACTTAAGATAAAATAAACTTTTGTGAAATCTAACTTCTTAGTTTCATCTTAATACATACATTCACAAAATCAACTTAGTAGTAATTATTACCATTACATAATTAAAGATTAAGGTTTAAGACATCCAATAAAATTGTAACGATATAGAGAAAGCGTAATTGATCCTAGCCCCGTGTTGGAGCGAGTTCCTTATGATTGTAAAACATAAATTTATTCCTTATTTGTGTTGGTCTCAAACATAAATCGATCCTAGCCCCAATGTGGATGTTATTTGTGGTAGAGGTTTTAGTTAAAATGCACCGCTAATATTGTTGTTGGTTTTATTTGTCCGCCTCATATGATACTCTATTTTTTAAAAAAAATAATCATTCAACCAACCATTAACATATTTGATTACTGATAAGCAAAAATTATAAATTTTTAATATTTTAAAAATATATATGGAGACAAATCTAATAAGCTTTCATATGACTTTATTTTTCATAACATATACTAAAAAAAAAATATTAAGTATATCATTGAATTAATCAAATTACCTATTTTTAACTCACATGATACAATCTTTCTATGAACAGACACATCTGAAATCCTAAATCCTAGTAACATAAATTATTTAAATCTTACATTCATAGAATAAAATGTTCACTATTTACAAATGAAATTTAAATTGTACACCTGGAAGAAAATTGTTATTAAAAAAAAAAAAAAAAAAAGTCAGCTTCTTAAATTTATGCTCCTTAATTGAAGGATTTTTGTTATTTCCCTTCCATAATTTTAGCTTCCCATCTATAATTGTTCATAATCAACTTTTGAAAAAATAAAGAATTTTAAGAGAGAAAATAAAATTTCAAGAGAAAGAAATAAATTTTTTAGAGAGAAAATGATGGCTCATGGTGAATTTCGTCACGATATATGATTGTCGATTTGCACTTGATGATCACCGGACTGATGTTTTTGGCAATTGCTATTTAATTTTAGATTTTGTCACCAAATGAGAAGGTAGTTTTTAATTATATTTTTCAATTTATATTTAATAATTTTGTTGTTGATGATGATGTTTTTTGATTATTATATTTGTTCATGGATCATTGTTAACGAATTCAGCACTAAAAGAAAATGTAAATTTTTTTGATATTTTATTTTTAAATTTGTTTTATTTTCGGAGGTTAAAAATGAAGATAAATGTTCTTTTATCAGTTTTTTTTTTATCCATATTCATTGGATTGAATATGTTCATTGAGTTTAATTAATATGTTTTTTGGGTCTGAACTATATGTTATTTATAGTTACAAACTATGTTCTTTAGAGTTGAACTATATGTTCTTTACGTTACAAACTATGTTTATTTAATTGAGTATTTTTTTCAAATTGAGTAATTTTTTCAAAAAAACATATCATCTAATTGTGTATATGTATATTTTTTTGAAATCAGGATCATAAAGGTTGATGAAAACGATATACTTTTGGGACCTATTCTATAAATGATTGATTTTTCGATAGATTTAAAGAACATTCACTATATTAATAAAAAAAACATGATAATATTATTTAAAGAGTATTATTTATATTTACCCAGCATGTTAAAACAAAATTTAGAAAACATTTCACAATAAGTAGGGGTGTCAATTTAGGTAAACAGTTTGGGTTTGGGATGAGTTTATCAGTTTCGGGTTATAATGGGTCGATTTATAATGGGTTGAAATGATTAGCGGGTCGGTTTTGAAAATCATCGGGTCAGTTCGGTTTTTTTTTTTTTTTTAATTGCGGTTTCTATTTGGGTCGAGTTGTAGTTGGTTAAGGTCATAATTAGTTTGGGTTGAACCGAATCGGTTTGAAAACGGATTTAGCCAGTTTAAAGTGGGTTTCGGTTCAAAACTTGTAATCGGTTCGGGTCATAATCAGTTTGGGTTAAACCAGGTCGGTTTGAAAATGAGTTCCGATTCAAAACAGATCGGGTGAAATCTAGGGTTCGGTCATTATCGATTCAGGTCATAATCGGTTTGGATTGAATTTGGTCGGTTTGAAAACGGGTTTACCCAATTTGAAGCGAGTTTCAGTCCAAATCATATTGGGTTAAAATCGAGTCGGATCATTATCGAGTCGAGTTAGTCAGATAATGGGTAGAAACGGGTCATGTTATAATCAAATTAAATCATAAATAAGTTGGGTTTATCGAGTAGTGGGTTGAAACGGATCAGATTATAAACATATTGGGTTATGAGTTGTAAACAACTAAGCCATAACGGGTTACCTATCGTAAATGGTTCGGTCTCAACGGGTTACCGGTCGTAAACAGTTCGGTCTCAAAGGTGATAGGTTGGAAACGGTTCGGTCATAATGGGTTACGGGTTATGAATGGTTCGGTCAGAACGGGTTACGGGTTGGACCGGTTCAGGTTTATCGGATTTTTGCTGGGTTTAAATGTTGGTTTAAAATGGGTCGGGTAACTATCATGTTAAGATGTAATCGGTTCGCGTTGTTTTCAGTTTTGGGTTGTAACGGTTAGGCTTGATAACTGGTCAAGTTAGTAACGGTTCGCATAATTCGGTTCAGTTCAGTTTCGGGTTAGAAAAAATTGGGTTGGGTCGATTTTCGGTTTTCAAAAAACGGGTTTTTAACGGTTCAGTTCCTTTTCGAATTGGTTCGAAACAGTCGGGTTTAATGGTTCGGGTCAGAAACTGACAGCTCTAATAATAAGTAATGAACATTGTGTGACAATAAAGGTATTAAAATTACAATCAAAGAACATGGACATTTAAAAATCATATAATATAATGAACATAAAATAGATATACATGACCAAGATGAATATTGTAACAAAATATAAAAATATATAATTGGTTATTTAGAGAATTTTTTTTTGAGAAAATACAAGTATCTCAACATGAGATACATGATATATATCTCAAAGGGGCAAATTCGTCATTTCTAGTGCAAAACTTGGGTTAATTTTGTAATTTTTGTCAAAAAAATCTCTGTATTTTCAAGCTATAATATAAAGTTTCAATAGAGCATTGAAGAACTTCAACCGAAAATGGAAGAACTTTAATGGAGAAATGGAAGAATATCAAGGGGCTTCAATGGAGGACGACCTAAACCTTTCCCGTAAGGGTTAACCTTGCCCTTCTTTTCTCGTAAGGGTTTTCGTTTAATCGGTGGAAAAGTTGCCGATAATATGATGGTGACAGTGGTTGTTCACGACCCACTTCTACGGAGGAAGAGGAAGCGATAATATGGTGGTGACAGTGGTTGTTCACAACCCACTTCTCCGGAGGAAGAGGAAGCGATAATATGGTGGTGAAAATGGGTGTTCACGATCCACTTCTATGGAGGAGGAAGCATGAAGAAGATGAGGATGAAAATATGGGTCAGGAAGAAGGTGAACATAAAAGAAATAGTACAAAAAAGTATTAAAAAATCATATAATTCCTCTTATTTACAAATATGCCACTGTGATGAGATACATTAATGTATCTCATGTTGAGATATTGGGTCTAGCTCATTTTTTTTTAAAGAAAGAGAATAGAATACAAAAATATTGGAATTTGAAATTTTGAAAATGAATTTCAAAATTTAAAATTTGAAATTTGAAAATGAAATCTTAATAAAAATAATTTTGGAGAGAGAAATTATAGAAAACTGAATATTTTGAAATGATTTGACATTAAATACATTGTAAAAATCAATTGGTAATTATCTTGTACCTTTTTTTAAAAACTGTTTCACCAAAATTGTTACGTTATTTATATTTTAATGTTGTGTTCTTTTATAAATTCGTGATGTTCATTACAAATATAAGTTATGTTTTTTCCGCTTTATTTTTTTAAACTAGTTTTGATCCGGGTGTACCATGCAGGTGCACCAACCAATGATGAATATTTGCCCCAAAAAAAAAAAAAAATCGAATTAATTATTTATATCCCAAAGCGCGAAGTCGCGAACTACAAAATTTTGCAAAGCGCGCAATATTATAGAGCGGGAGTTTTACCGCCACTTATTTCCCGCCAAACATCTTCAGTCACCTTAATCGCTGTTCTACATATTAACACCCTCTACACTCAATCTACAAAACCCTACATAATCTCACACCTTAAATTCGCAATAATCTCATCTCTTTACCCTGAAAAATCTTACAGCAGTTGCAATGGTAGTCCCTCTTCGACCTGCCCGATTCTACGGCCGCAGCTTTCCTCGGCCTAGGTTCTATACTGATGTGAAGTTCAGCGATGAGCGTGTCGATCCACCGACACCGGTACTCGATCCGCTCATGTCTTGGGCCAATGAGGCTCACTGGTCCATGGGTGGTCTTTGCTTGAATCGTCTTCGCCTTCAGGGGAAGATCGAGGGGAATGTGGAGAAGCTTAGGAAACAGAGGGAGAAGTCTTTTAAAATGAAGATGGAGAATAGTCCGTTGAAGGGTGTTGATTCGCCTCCGCCTGCTCCGATTTCGAAGAAGCGGAGGCAGAGAGTCAAGGTGGTGGATGATGAAGGAGAAGAAGAAGATAATGATGACGATGACGATGACGAGGAGGATGAGGAGGAGGAGATTGAAATGGAGATTAGGAAAGTGAAGCGAAACGGAGGTATGAAAAAGAGGAGGCTAGTTAGGAAGCTTGGGGATGATTTTGAGTTGGTTGCTGAAGCGAATCGGAGGACCCCATTGAAGGATGTGAGCAATGGTGTTGTTGTTTCGGAAGGCGGTGTTGCGTTGAGGACTAGAAGCAGGAGATCTATGGTGTTGAATGAAGAGGAGGATGAAGGTAGATATGATGAAAAAAATTCTAAATCTGAGAAAATCAAAGAAAAGGATGTTGTGTCTGTTACTCCTAAAAAAATGAGTAAGAAGAATGGGGATAAGAAGGGTTTGTCTGTTACTCCAAATGGGTCAAGGAGTTCTCCAAGATTGAAGCAGAAATCAAATTAGTTTTAATTTGAAACTTATGCTTAAATGTGAAAGAAACTATTATGTGGTAGGATTGATGTTTATATTAAATATGTAATGGGGCTATTTAGACTATTGAACTATTAATGAAATGAAAGTGATTTATCAATTTCATGGACTAATATTTGATCTTGGTAATATATATATATATATATATATATATATATATATATATATATATATATATATATATATATATATATATATTTGGAATCCTGAATTGGATATTTATATTTGTTGCATATTGAACAGCAGCTATGTTTATGCAATTATGCAAGTGAGGCATAGGCTAATTTGTATTAGATGTCTATTGAATTAATTGATGCTTTTTGTGGTGGGTTGATGTTGACTCAACTTTGTGCTTCTCATTCTTAAGTTTCTGAATTTTTTTTTTCATGAACTATCTGAACATTTTTTTTTTATTGTTTACATCTAAATGAAAACCTGTGTATACTATAGCTATTATAAGTATTTGTAAATGTATCTTTCAATTTTTTCTAAATTTTAACAAGGCTTGGAAAATTTTAGAGCTGAAAATTGAGTTAGTATCTTTAAGCATTTTTTGGGTGTTGACAACAAAAAGGACATAGACCGTAATTTCATTAGAAAAGGAGGCAACAGTTTCGTGTAGAAAGAATACAGTGCACCTATAATTAGACAGCTTTCGATGTTAATTTTGTTGTAGGATGGAAAGAAAAATTGGGTCAGTTGTTACATTTCTTCCATGGGAGGACTGAGGGCGTTCACCTGGGAAAATTATGTCAGATAGCTTCCATGATATACATTTCTTTCTGTGGCACCATTATGAATGAATTAGGATATTCGTAATGCTAATGCATTAAAAACTAATTGGACTGGTTCCCAAACTCATCTTTCTCCTCTTCTGTTTCAAAATTTACCATCTTTAGGATAGGATCAGGAATATGAGTGCATGAAGCAAGGAATTACAGAAATGCAGCTAGTCGGCTAAAGCAGCAAGTCCAACAGGAAATGGTAAGTTCAGCTTTATGCTTACTTGTTTTCCTAGAACCAAGCATGAAAGAAGAAAGAGGTGCAGATATTCGACAGAAGACGCAACTCCAACTGAAATCTGTTAGCACCTACTGGCTTTGATTTGTTCAGTCACTTGGTATATCTGTTATAAATTACACATCAAGTGAGATTGTGAGAAGAAAGCAGGGCTAAATATAGCCCCTTTTGGGGGGTTTGGTGTTGTCCTATTTGGGTAATATTATTATTATAATGTTAAAAGATTTAGGGTTGATGTCTTGTAACTAGAGGTGTCCACCGTGCGAGTCGTGCGAGCTGGGTTAGGGTTAGGTGGGTCGCGGGTTGGGGTTTCATGACACACGGCACGACACACGTAGGGTAGGGTGGGCCGGGTCGTGGGTTGGGTCGGAGAAGTTGGACACACCAGGGTTAGGTTCGTGGGTTAGACGAGTCGTGGGTGGGTCGAGCTGGGTTTGTGGGTTAGACGGATCGTGGGTGGGTCGAGCTGGGTTTGTGGGTTAGACGGGTCATGGGTGGGTCGAGCTAGGTTCGTGGGTTAGACGGGTCAAGGTGGGTTAGTGAGTTAGGGTGGGTCGAAGGGTGGGTTAGTGGGTTAGGGTCGGGTGGGTTTGTGGGTTAGGTGGGTTAGGGTCGGGTGGGTTAGTGGGTTAGGGTCGGGTGGGTTTGTGGGTTAGGTGGGTTAGGGTCGGGTGGGTTTGTGGGTTAGGGTCGGGTGGGTTCGTGGGTTAGGGTCGGGTGGGTTGTGTGGTGTTTTAATTTTTACAAAATTAACAATTTGATGGCTTGCTCTTAATTAAGATGCCTACGTATCCTTATATTATAAAATAAGGAATCAAAGCCAGCGTAGTTCTTATATTGTACTTCTTTTGAAATTTGGGGGGGGGGGCTTGGACCTATCTTTAGAAAACTAAAATTTAATTTTGCAATTAAATTGTAATTTTCGAAAAATAAGTTGCCTACGTATCCCGAAAGAATCAAAGCCCACGTAGTTCTTAGCGTACCTGATTTAGACTTTTCTAGCCACCCATGTTTGTTGCATCATCATCCCCGGAAGCTGCATCATCCGTTGACGACTCCAATATCATCACAGGATCATCTTCATCGTCTTCGTCTTCCTTTAAACCTTGAGTTCTTCTTTCAGCTTGATCCCAATCTTTCTTACAAACACAAATTTGAATGCTTTCCGGAGTTAAGCGAGATCTTTTTTCATCTAACACTCTTCTACCTGCACTAAAAGCAGACTCGGAAGCAACAGATGAAGCGGGAACTGCAAGTATATCTTTTGCAATTCTCGCCAATATAGGAAAACTTTTTTTATGTTCTTGCCACCATTTTATAATTTGAAAGTCGTTGTTGGTCTCATGTTGATATGACAAATAATCATTAATAGCAAGTGTTGAAGAAGATGATGATGAGAATGATGTAGATGCTTTGTGTTTTTTTTTTCATAACTTTATCAAGAAAACCAAATCTAGAATCGGAAGTGCTAGTAGTAGTTGGTGTTGCCAAATCAAAACCATAAATAGATGCATAATGATCATAAAGGTCTCCCAAAACAGATTTGCATTTGTTAATATATTCACTAACATCATAATCGATACTTAAACTTGTATAATAAAATTCTAAAAGATTTTCCAAACCTTCAGCTTTGACACCGGGGTCAAGAATAGCAGCAATTCCATAAATGATTGGAAATTCACTAAAATAAGTATGCCACTTACGTTTCATGCTATCAAGAACGGGACGAAGTCCATCAATCTTCATATGCTCTTCGATGGTGTGAACAACTTTAACACACTCAATTATGACTAAATGAACGTTAGGCTCATAAATATAAGAGAAAATATGAGTTGCACTATCAAAAGCATTTAAAACATCACGAACAAAAGAAGCATTAGTCCAATGACTTTCGGTTATTAACTCAGTAGGATCAACACGAGTCTCATTGTAAAGTTGGGTCAAAATATCACGATACTTTATAGCATCACTCAACAACTTGAAAGTAGAATTCCAACGGGTAGGGGTATCAATAGACCATTGTCTTTTCTTAAGACCTCTCTCTTTACACATAGCTATGTACTTTCTTCTAACTGACTGAGTAATCCTAATCCATTTTATAACTGTTCTAATTGGGTTTAGCAATGGTTGCAACTCAGCGAGACCCTCTTGAACAGACAAATTCAAAATATGAGCACAACATCTAACATGCAAGAGATTACCACCCAACAACAAATTCAACTCGGAGTCATTTTTCAAATAGTCAATACACTTTGTGTTTGCAGTTGCATTATCAAGAGACAAAGAAAAAACTTTATTATTCAAGTGAAATTCTTTTAAACAATCCAAAATACGAACTTTGATGTTAAAACCGGTATGCCTTTCTTCCATAGCTTGAAAACATAGTATACGTTTTTGAATAAACCAATCATCATCCACCCAATGAGCAGTAATGCAAAGAAAAGGTTCGCCAAAACTAGAAGTCCATGTATCACTTGTAAAACTAACACGACCATCAAAAGTACGAAATAATTCAATCAAACCACTCCTATACTTATAATAAGAAGTTTGTGTATAACGTCTTAGGGTATTTCGGGGGACACGAGTAAATGCAGGTTGTAATGCAACTTTATTAAAATGCTCAACGTTTGCATTTTCACCGTAACTAAAAGGGTATTCATTAGCAATAACTAAAGTACTCATTTCATCAATCATTCTATCTTTATTATAAATGAAAGGTGTACCTCCGCCGGGTTGGTTCATGTATCCACCCAATTGTGTTTGGATGCCACCCCCCGAAGGACGGGGGCCATTTTCGAACAAGTCGTGTTTATTTTGCAAATGCCGACTCAAGGTTCCGGTTCCATCTCCCGTTTTCCAATTATATGACTTGACATTTGCACCTAGCGCCTTGCAAACTAGGCATGTACACGTGAACCTCTTTGGTTGACCAGGTTGCCATCCCGGGGGTGTGACCTCAACTCGTTCAAAATGTTTCCACACCCAAGAAAAATGTGCTCGACCTCTACTTTCACCGCCACCACCTTTCATAAATCAAATTATTAAAATTAATTTTTAAATGCTATTCATGAAAATAAGCTTTTAAATTTTAAATATTTTAATTATACTTATTTAAACGCATTTTTCATGGTAATTAACTAATTGTAAATCATAGAAAATTGGAAACTAAACTAACTTTATAATCATTAATAATAGTTTTTTTAAATATTCATAACAATAAAAATTTAATTAGAAATTACCTTGAGATGAAGGTTGAGATGTTGGTTGCGATGGAGGTGGCATAGTTGAACTTGATGATTGGTGGGACTCGTGGGAGAAATGTTGTGGTGGAGACGTTTGAATATTTTGCCTATCTCCTAAACCATAATCTCCATATTCATTGACAAATTGGTTTAAATTTTCCGTATTAATTTCATACGAAAAATTTGCACCACCACTCCTTTGGCTACCACTTCGACCACCACTTTGACTCCTTCCCATTCCTCCTCTTGAGCTCATTTTTTTTTTGTATGATTACTAATTATAATATGGAGAAGAACTTTTTTTTTTTAGAATCTTAAGAATACTAATAATAATATTAAGGAGATTTTTTTTAACAAAAATATAACTCTATATAACACTTGAGAATTTGAGAACAATAAGAATTTTTAAGTAAGAGAGAAAGAAAGCTTGAATTTGTGTGGAAATTTGAGTGAAATGGAATTGGTATTTATAGGAAAAATAGAATGGATGATCATACACTTAAAAAACTAGCCGTTAGATACAAAAAACTAGCCGTTAGATACAAAAAACTAGCCGTTTTTTTTTTAAAATGGATGTTAGGCCGTGCGGGCCGTGCGGGTCGTGCGAATTGTGCGGGCTGTGCGGGCCGTGCGGGTTGTGCGGGCCGTGCGGGTTGTGCGGGCCGTGCGGGTTGTGCCGGCCGTGCGGGTTGGGTGGGTCATGCGTGCGGGTTGGGTGGGTTGGCTCGTGCGGGTTGGGTGGGTCATTCGTGCGGGTGGGCCGTGCGGGCTGGGTTGTGCCAGGTGGGTCGGGTTAGGTGGGTTCACGGGCTAGGTGTGTCGAATTAAATGAGTCAAAACGGGTTGTGCGA